GCTCTTTGAAACACTAGGAAATGAAACAATTGCCCAAATGTTATTCCATCTATTTTCCTATTTAGTTTTAGGCACAGGTATATTGTTCAAGCTTCAGTGCTCATAGTCATCATTTCTTAGGGTGTAATAATATTTGATTATACTCATATGCCACAATCTCTTTAACCATTCCCCAATTAATAGGCACTATTTATTTTCGGTACTCTGATAACACAAAAATGCTATTATGAATTTTTTTGTGTGTATGTATACATGTGACCTTTCCCTCTGTCTTTGATTTCCCTAGGGGTATAGATTTAGTAGTAGTTTCATTGCATTACAATTATAATTTTTCTTGTAATTGCTGGCCCAATTCAGCCATGAACTATTGTATATTGTACAACAGTGTGCTTATCACAGAAGATTTTATGAAAATGATTGTCATTTGAGCTGGCCCTTAAAAAAATAGATCAGATTTTTTTGGTTGTCAGTCAGTAAATAATCATTTATTAAGCACCTACTATATACCAGTCACCATGTTAAGCAATGGAGATACAAAGAAAGGCAAAAAACAAAACAAAGCAAAACAAAAAACCAGTCCCTACTCTCAAGGAGCTCATAATCGACTAGGGAAGACAACAAGTAAATATATACAAACAAGCTATGTGAGATAAATCAGTAATAATTAATAGAGGTAAGGCACTAGAAATAAGATGGTTTGGGAAAGTTTTTCTGTAAAAAGTGAGATTTTATCTAGGACTTGAAGGAAGGCAGGGAAGCCAAGAGAGGGAGCTGAGGAGGAAAAGCATTCCATGTATAGGGACATGCTCAGAGCTGAGAGATGTAGTATCGTATTCAAGGAACAGCAAGGCAAATAGTGTTGCTGGATTGAAAAGTCCATGTTGGGACATGGGGGACACCATCAAATGTAAAAAGATTGGAAAGGTAGAGGAGAAGTGGTGGTGGCTAGGTTATGAAGGACTTTGAATACAAAACAGAGGATTTTATATTTGATCCTTGATACGGAGTCACTGGTGTTTGCTGAGTAGGGGTTGGGGATGAAGGTGGGGATAGTACGATGCTTTAGGAAAATCATTTTGATAGCTGAGAATGATAACTAAGTTGTGAATCTGGAGGACTGGGAAGATGGTATTGCCCTTGACAGCAATAGGCAGGTTTGGAAGAGGGAAGGGTTTGTGGTGAGAGATAATGGTAGAGGTGGAGAAGGGATTTTAGGCATAGAGAATGGCATAATCAAACTACACAGTCAGGAAAAACATAGGCTTATCTAGGCTATTTCAATTACTCCAGTTTGGAGTAACACTATTATGTTCAGTATGTGAAGTGGGATTATCTGAATTATGGCGAGAAAGATAGGTTTGAGCCTGTGGAAGGACTTGAATACCATATTAAGGTGTCTGGACTTGATCTGGTGGCAGTGAGGAGCCACTGAAAACTTGAGCAGGAGAATGATAGTTGTGCGTTAGGGAGTTGTTTGTCCTTTGTTTTCAGAGGACCAGTGACATTGCAGGGTGATGTATTGACTCATGCATGAATTGGATTTAACTGAGGTAGAGTTGCACAAAGCTGTCAGCCTCACTCTCTCTTCTGGAGTCATTGAAGTCCAGTGGCAGGACAAAAGTCAACATGACTGGGGATGGGCCAGGATGCAGTGTATGACATTGGCATCTTTGATGTCTGACCAAGCTCTAAGCACTTCATAGCACCTACTTCAGTGGTCTTCATGGCCATTGGAACAAATTGTTTTTATCCGCGCATTCTCACCAAGGAAAGTCTTCACATACTCAGGGTAAACATCCCCCTAATTCATAGTTGGCTTGAGGTCCATCAGTTACCCTCAACCTGGTTTAGCCTGTTTGTTGAGACAGTGTACTATGCTGTAACTGCTACACATGCTACAGCTTTTTGGAGCTACAGGCGAGAAGTGAGGGCCAAGTGGACACCAAAGGTGGATGAGCAGCCCTGAAAAAGACTCCACAAGCCCTCACACTTCAAGCAGTCCTCCTTGAACACCCCATACACTTCATTAAGGAGTACATAGAATAGACTGGACTGGTTATGAACTAGAGACAAGGAGAACAGTTAGTGGTCTTCTACAAATAGTTTAAACAGTTTCCACTGATGGGCTCATATCATCAAATGGCTACAACTAGGCCCTTAACCAGAAGAGCTTTAATACCAAACAGAAATACTTTCCAATTAGAAGAATAAATGGTAAAGGAGTAGTGAGTGTATGAATATTAAGGCAGATCATTGAATCTATTGCTTTTTCAGGGATTGGAAAGACTTAGAAATTAATTCATGTGGCATTTTCCCACTCTCCTTTTCTTCACTGTTTTCCTACATATTGTTTCCAAAGGTTCCTTTAAAGGGGAGTATAGTTATTAATCTTAAAATATTATAGTGTAACTGTCCTCTACCAGTGGTTTGGGGCTGTTAGGTGGCATATTGCCAGGCCTAGAGTCAGGAAGACTCATCTCCCTGAGGTCAAATCTGGCCTCAGAGAGTTACTAGCTTTGTGACCCTGGGGAAGTCACTTAACCCTGTTTGCCTCAGTTTCCCCATCTATAAAATAAGTTAGGGAAGGAAATGGCAAACCACTCAAGTATTTTTGCCAAGAAAACTTCAAATTGGGCATCAGTCCACCACGCCTGAAATGATCGGACAACAACAGTAACAAACTATTTTCTTTTTCTTGACTAGTGAAAACCTTCTCCTCCTCTTCACCTTGGCATCATTATTGATATTCAGTTCACAGTGTCAGGTAAAGAATGGAGAAGGAGGTGGGATAAATTTAGAGAGCTTCTAAAATAGGAGCAGGTAGTTCTGGTAAGAAAGGATGTATGCTCTTTGATACATGAATGGGTCTTTATATTGTAGTACAAGCATAGGCATAATGCCAAGGCCATATATAAATAACATGGAATTGTGATGTTTGAAAAGTTTGAGAAATATAATTTCTGAGTAATTAATCATTTTATTAATTATGGCTAGCAAATAATAAAAGAATGGTCATTTAGCTGTCTCTTGTAAACCAAAGATGGATCATGGTGGCCTATTGATGCTTACATGCTCTTGGAAGAGTCGGTATTACAGGAGGCAATCAACTGTGAATGGCCAACAACTAATGAGACAACCAATATTATAATGAGAATTGGACCTATTCTAATGAGGGACTGGGAGACTTTGATTATATCATTCTTATTCCCAGATCTCCCCCAGCACCTCTCCCCCCTCTCCCCCAGCAATCTAGACAGAGAATCTACCCCCCCCCACAAGCCTTAGTAGAATATAATGGGCTTTCCCACTTGGGTGGGGTCTGAACAAGATTGAGGAGAAAGTTAATCCAAGTTTATCATCAGCTATGTCTTTCCAGTGCTGAATAACCTCTAAGAGGCTGATTTCTGAATGAGGAAATAGGAAGGGGAAAAACTTTAGTCCTAATTCAATAATTGGTTGCTAATATAAGAGAAATAATCATTCCTCTCAGAATACAGCTCATGATAAATGCCTTGGCATCTGGAATATGTATAGATTTTATAGATGGGAGAAACCTTAGAGATCTTTTGGCCCAACCCTCATTTTACGAATTACAAGATGGAAGATTTTAGACAAGAAATTACTTGCCCAAGGTTATACATGTAGTAAGTAAGCAATGGGTCCAGCATTCAAGTCCAAGACTAGATGGCTGGGAGGTTCTAAGAAACTAAACTGCGAATATAATCACAAGCAAGCCTGATAAGGAAGGAAATGTGGATGAAGAACTTACTGGGGTGGGGGTGGGGGAATGATATTGAAATACACTAATGTAGTCACAGGGAATTTTCTGATGAACTGAAATTGTAAAAAGGCATGTGCAAAATATGGGAACAAAGACACATAATCAGGAAACAATGCAAACTAGTTGCATGAACTTGTAAGCATAGTTTCAGGAAAGGCTAAAGCACCAAATAGGGTGAAGCCTTTGAAAAATGCTAAGGACAATTAAAGGGTTTTCAAAACCATATTCAAGTTATAACAGATATTCTCAAAGCACAGTTATGGCAATGTCATTCCTCTGCTCAATTATACCCAGGGTGGTTTACCTGTTATTATTTATGGAATCAAATAGAAACTTTATTGTTTGCTATTTGGGGCCCTTTATGATCCTTCTTCAACCTCCCTTTCTGATTTATTGTATAATTCTCCTTCGCTATGCACTTCCCTATCTAATCTGGTTTTCTTACTCTTCCTCATAGACAACATTCCATCTCCTGTCTTCCATAGCACATTCCTGGAATTCATTCCTTTTTCTCTTCTGCATTTTAGAATTCCTCACTTCTGTCAAGTTATTAAAAGACACACTGTTTTCCAGAGCTAAGGCCAAGCAAGCTGTGCCCTGAGCTTGGCATAACAACAATACTTCATGGTCACTTTCTGGATGATCTCACCCTCTGGCAAAAATCATATAACTATTGTCTTGCTCTGACCAGCACCAGGTGTTCTCAGAGCTCAGAAAAGCACCAGACAAGATGGACAAGTACCTATGTTCTGGTCATGAAGCCCTGCTATGAATCAAACTTGTCTCATTGTTGTTATTACCCGTCATTGTCAGGGCTACAGCTCACTGCACAGCCGAAAGTATAAGTATTGAGATCTACCCACACTATAGTGGGCTCCCCCACTAGGTGAGTGGTCCCAGGACATGTGTCTTTGGTTGCAAGCTGTTCCTTTCACTTTGAAATTAAACTTCTGTTTGGTTCCTGACTCTCCTGTCTCCAGCCTGCTCTGTTTGGGTCTGGCCATCCACAGGTTAGAGGCTGGTTCAGGCCTGTTGACATTAATTGACATCAGAAATGAGACTGGACATGGAACTGGGCCATTGAATTCTCCAGTACCAGCAGGAATAGACCAGGTGCCATTGGAGATTTATTTCTCCTGAGTCTGGTACCCCCTCATCTGGTGAGCCTCTGCCCTTGTCCCTGCTCCAATCTCTGAGCTCCTGCATTGGTCAAACTTACCATTCTTTGGGAGGAAAATTTCGGGACCTCTCTGGTGATCCAGCTCATCTTGGATCTCTCTGGTCATAATATCCTTTCTTAAACTGCACACCTCTCTTAACTGGCCTCTCTTCATGCCTCTGCTGTTTTTATACTGCATGCCTTGGTAACTGTGTGCTTCTGCCCAACTAGTTAAAATTAGAATTGTAATTGCATGCTTTGTCAAAACTGTTTGTGTCTATTTTTATCTGTCTTGTCATTTTGTCTGTGTTTGTGTCTGTGTAAAATGTCAAATGTCTGTGTCATGTTTGTGTTGCAAACTAGATTCTGTTACCTTGAAAGATTTACAGTGCAACCAGCTAGAAAAACTTATGAGGACTATAGCCAAAGAGTTTAGAACACCAGGAAAGATTAATGAACTTTCATACTTGAAGCAATTGTCCCAGTAAGCAGTGCTAACTCCCACTTTAGGCTTTCCATGGGAGATTAGGTAAAAAGAAAAAAAGTCAGATAATCAAAATTTGTAGAACTGCTGAAAACATCTTAGCAAGTTCTGGAGGGTTTGAAGATTAATCACTAAAGAGTTTGAAAATTTATAATTTTTTAGGATTACAGTGAACTTCTGAGATATTGGGTAATTCCAACTCACTTCTTTCTGAAATATCTTAGTAAGTTTTGGGGTACCACTCTGTAGAATTCATTTTGAGAAAAAAATAAGGATTACATTTTTATAAAAGCCTTAAATGTAAATTGCAAGATTAATAGCTTCATTGTTCTAGGGCAATAAAGGAAGACAGCTAATTTGGAAGTAATCCCAGAGTGAAGAAAGAAATAAACATAGGTAAATGGTTTGTACCTTATAGCAACCTCTTGTTAACCCTTTCTTGACATGTCTAATCAAGAAAAAAGAATGTTTAAGCCAAAGATTTCTTTTTTTTAAAAAATTTTTTTTTCCACATGCTTTTGAGTTGAAAATTTTTTCTCCCTTTTTCTCCCCCCCACCCTCCCCTAGACGGCGCACAATCTGACATAGGCTTTACATTTACATGCCCATTAAACATATTTTCACATTAGTGAAGCTATAAGTAAAAATTAAAACCAATAGGAGGAACCATCAGAAAGATGAAACAAAACTCAACTGAAGGTAAAAATAAGTGAGAGCGATTCGACTTCCATAGTTCTTTCTTTGGATGTGGACAGCATTTTCCATCCTGAGGCCTCCGGAGATGTCTTAGATCCTTGTAATGCTGAGAAGAGTTCAGTTTAACATTTTTAGTCATTGCATAATGTGGCTGCTAGTCCTCTTGGTTCTGCTCACTTCACTCAGCATCAGACCATATAAGTCTTCCCAGGTTTTTCTGAAGTCAGCCTGGTCATCATTTCTTATAGAACAATAGTATTCCATTACATTCATATACCACAACTTGCTCAGCCATTCCCAATTGATGGGCATCCTCTCAATTTCCAATTCTTTGCCACCACAAAAAGAGCTGCTATGAATATTTTTGTACATGTGGGTCCTTTTCCCATTTGTTTGATCTCTTTGGGATATAGCCCTAGAAGTGCTATTGCTGGATCAAAGGGTATGCACATTTTTGTAGCCCTTTGGGCATAGTTCCAAATTGTTCTCCAAAATGGTTGGATCATTTCACAACTCCACCAACAATGTATTAGTGTTCCAATTTTCCCACATCCTCTCCAACATTTATCATTTTCTTGTTTTGTCATGTTGGCCAATCTGATAGATGTGATGTGGTACCTCATAGTTGTTTTGATTTGCATTTCTCTAATCAATAATGATTTAGAGCATTTTTTCATATGACTATAGATGGCTTTAATGTCTTCATCTGAGAACTGCTGTTCAATTCCTTTAGCCATTTATCAATTGGGGAATGGCTTGTGTTCTTATAAATTTGTCTTAATTCTCTATATATTTTAGAAATGAGGCCTTTATCAGAAGACTGGTTGTAAAAATTCTTTCCCAATTTTCTACCTTCCTTCTAATCTTAGTTGCATTGGCTTTGTTTGTGCAAAAACTTTTCAATTTAATGTAATCAAAATTATCCATTTTGCTTTTCATAATGTTCTCTATCTCCTGTTTGGTCATGAATTCTTCTGTTCTCCATAGATCTGATAGGTAAACTATTCCTTGTTCTCCCAGTTTACTTATGGTATCAGCCTTTATATCTAAGTCCTGAACCCATTTTGACTTTATTTTGGTATATGGTGTGAGATTTGGGTCTATGCCTAGTTTCTGCCATACTCTTTTCCAGTTTTCCCAGCAGTTTTTTTCAAAGAGTGGTTCTTATCCCAGAAGCTGGGGTCTTTGGGTTTATCAAATAATAGATTACTATAGTCATTGACTACTGTATCTTGCATATTTAACCTATTCCACTGATCCACCTCCCTATTTCTTAGCCAGTACCAACCCAGTTTTGATGACTGCTGCTTTATAATACAGTTTAAGATCTGGAATTGCTAGGCCACCTTCCCCTGCATTTCTTTTCATTATTTCCTTTGATATTCTGGGCCTTTTGTTTTTCCAAATGAATCTTGTTATTATTTTTTCTAACTCTATAAAATAATTTCTTGGTAGTTTGATTGGTATGGCACTGAATAAGTAAATTAGCTTAAGTAGGATTGTCATTTTTATTATATTAGCTCGGCCTACCCATGAGCAACTGATGTTTTTCCAATTATTTAGATCTGATTTTATTTGTGTGAAAAGTGTTTTGTAATTGTGTTCCTAGAGTTCCTGGGTTTGTTTCAGGAGGTAGACTCCAAAAATATTTTATAATGTCTATAGTAAGTTTAAATGGGATTTCTCTTTCTATCTCTTGCTGTTGGGCTTTGTTGGTAATATATAGAAATGCTGACAAAGATTTCTTTTTGTCAGAGACCCTCTTCCCCTCCCTATTAATTCCTCTCATCTCAAATCAGATTCCCAAATGCAAGTGCTGAAAAAAAAGTGCTGGAAAAATATAGTGAAACTTGAATTGCATTCCAGTTGCAGAAATGTATTAGTTGTGTAATCTTATGCAAATTATCTTATCTCTGTTTGCCCCAGTTTCATGATCTGTAAAGAGAAAAAAATAATTATGGCACCCACCTCCAAGAGCTGTTGTGAGAACAAAATAATATAATTACTGAAAAGTGCTTAACACAGTGACTGGCATATGCTAAGCACTACATTATTATTATTTCTTTAATTTAATGTAATTGTTCCATAACTGATAACTTTAAAATGGTTTTAAAATGCCAAACATAATAAGATTAATGATTTTTATATGGGGTAATTTGGAAATGTAGTTGATGTTATCTGAAGTTTTGTTTCATATTTTAAATACATGATATTGTTTGTGTTTATTGTATTTATAAATTCTCTTATATTGTGAAATTTGAGAGACCATTGTAACAGAAATGTTGTTAGTCAAAACAACTTTTTAATTTGGGTGCTGTTACATATGAATTAGGCTTTTAAAAAGGATGTGATAATAAATAAATATTTGAAAATTGTTAAATATTTAATGAGGCATATTTTGTTGTAAAGCAGACAATATAATAATAATAATTATAAGTTAAGTATAATAGCAAATGATCATTTGAAAGTTTTGGCTATTATGAAAGTATATATGGTGGTTTAAAGATGTAGTTTCAACACATCAATGGTGAGTCAACTATCAGGGATTTGCTGTATGTCTGAAGCCCCAGAATATGGGTAGTTTTAATTTATAAGTAAAGGATAAATGAAATGTTAACTGTTAGGGAAATATCAGGAAAGATATTCAAGCCCTGCTATTTAAGTTAAAACTTGCTGGGACTGTAATTTTCTATTTTTTTTAGCTATGATTACAGTTGTCTGAATTGTCATGAAGTCAATAGTAGAAAATGACATGTGCTGCACTCTGGGAACTGGTAAAGGTGGATGTGCCTGGGAAAAGTTTTGCGGAAAACTTTGGCATGGCCCAACATAGGATCCTCATGACTTTATTTCCCCATTGTGATATTACCTTTCTGAAAAAGAAATTTCCCCACCTGGTTAATCCTGTGACTACATGACTGGCTGTCAGATATGACTCATGACTGGAACTGAACAGAGCTAAGGGAGTTTTTTCCTCTGTTGTGATATATAACATTGTTATAACTTTGTTCCTCTTTTTTCCTTTTATAGCAAATTTTTATAATCAAGAAGTTTTATTAAGTACTGTACTAAATATATTAAATAATAGATTGATACTGGAACATCTCTAAGTTACTATAATAAAATGCAAAGAAGAACATTTTACAATTTTAACCTGTATTTGTGATCAAATAATAATAATATAGGAATGATATCCTCCTAAGGGGGAAATGATTAGATGTAATAAGATGACAAAGGTATAATGTAACAAGTTTTCTAAATAAATGGAATAGTAAATTTGGAGAAGAGCAGCAGAGTTAAATTGTTTTCTCTAGGAAGTATATAGAGATATATATGATTGGCTTTCAAAATTTGTCTATCATGGAAATTCAGGCTTTGAGAATGTTTTAGTAATAAATTCTCAAAATTGGATTAAGGATTTTATACATAAGTTGTGTTGATAATGGTAAAAAGAAATGAAATTATTTTCCCATTTTTAAGGGATTTGATCATCTTAGAGGGCAGAAGAGTTCATTTTGCAGCTGGACTCTAGTAAATTTTTAAAAGATTCTTGTATCAGATACAATATTCAGGTAAGGATAGAAACAGCAAACGGTATATAAACTGAAAGCCTCTGAAGTTTTGAGATTGAAGAACCAGATTTAAGTGATCATATTGAATTATATTAAGTTAGAATTATCTAAGAACCTCTAGATTTGGAACCAAAGAAGGAAAACTCCCTTTAAAGCTGTCCCGAGAATAAAGCCTGTTGTCCATGAAAAGATATCTAAGGACCAGATAATTACCTGAGATGTCTGGAACTCAAAATGTGCTAATTAAATGGATATTGAGAATGGATTACTAGGATACAAGAACACTTGATGTTAGTTAACATTGGTGATAATTATTATACTGCTTTGCATGGTTTATGTTTAAGTTTTCTTGGTTACCTTGGTGACATGTAAATCTCTTTTCTCAAAACTAGTCCACTGTGAGCCCTCTAAGTAGTTTGACTTGTATTTGACAATGTAATTATGGGAATTTTGAGAAA